AATATTTGGTTCACAACTAAAGCACTTGATTTTGTCACGCTCCAAAAGACTTTTTCTCCCTTTCACTGTTTTGTCCTTGATGTCCATCAAACTCTCCACAAATTATTATTTCTTGGCCCGTGAAAGCTATCTGAATTAAATTACTATTTTTAATCTTTTTTTTTTCTCCTCCTGACAGCCACAAAACGTCTTGAAAGGATTTGCTCTCAAGATTCACATCTGCATTTATTTGAAAGAAAACAGAATAATGAATATGACCTATCAGTTGATGAACTGTGTTCTATAAGCCACCGAGGTTAGGGGAGCTGTCCCCTTCTGCACACCACGCTCTGTCAGGAAGGACCAAGCCTTCCTTCTACAGCACAGCATCGAAAGACTAGGGGCTACTTTGGCAGGCTGAGAAGGCCAGAACATGTTTGAATCTCTGAACAACAACAAAGGTGTTAATTAAAACTAATATTCTGCTAATACTCAATATTACATATTACATACTGGTAGTGCTTTTGCTACCTAACAGAAAAAACATTTGTTGACATGTATGAGAGGAGGGGAGAAAAGCCCTGTGCAACACAGTTTGTTCCAGATAGGAAGCATCCACTTAGTGCGGTGCAAGTCTCCACACACTTGCAGTCACACTGAGCTAAGGTTACTCTTCAATCTTAAAAGCAACTAAAAAATTCATACTAATGCAGCGCTGCCAACTCTCCTGCATCAACACCATGATGCACAGCTTCCCAGTTTGCTTCATGGCTCAGTCATCTTCATGTTTCATTGCACAGCAGGATTTGCTAAACTGTTTTAATCCAGAAATGCACATCCCAGTCACAGCTGAGAAGCTGGATATGGTTGCAGAATAAACTAGCAGGTTATGTACCGTGGATATCTATTGTAATTAACTTTCACAGCACAGAGGCATTTGACTAAGCTCAGTATCACCCAAGACAGACAGGTTTTTACAATACTTCAGTAAGCCACTGAGAACACATTGGAAAAATTGATTTTTGCCCCTAATCATTTTCCAAAGCAGAGATGCTTGAGTTGCTTTGCAGACTTTACAGAAGTCTCTTTGTCTTACAGCTTTTTCCATTCTTCTGTAATTCGGAATTCTACAAAATGCTGACAAGATAAGAGTGCTTACCACGTACACACACAAAACTTACTAGTTACTTTCTCACTTTAAAAAAAGCTTCAAAACAGCATCTGCATTAGCAGCAGGATTATTTTCTTCATTTAATGAAAACAATTCAAACCAATGATTCAAAAATTCAGTTGCTTCCCCAGTTACATCTTATAGACGTAGGGAGAGGAAACAACTCTGACTTGTAAACAGCTGGTACTGGGCAATAAATAGTAACAAAGCAGCTTTTCACTGTCCAAAAGTTCTGATTTTTCAGACAAAGGCAGTATGATTTGATCACTGACAGACAAATAGCTCTTCCATTCCTTTACCAGTAATCAGATATTTGCTCTGAATGATCTGAACAGTTATCTTCATACGTAAAGGAATAAATCATGGCCAGAACCTCTCTAGAGAGCAGATCTCTTATCTGGCCTTAAAGCTGTTGACTGATTTAATGGTACATATCTAAGTTACCAGTGAGGACCATACTGCCAAGAACAGCCAGGCTAAGGGTGAGCTTATTTGGCCTTTCACTTGAAATGGTCCAGAAACTAAAATAATGAAGTATCTTCAGCCAGTACATTTTGACATAACTGCAAGAAATAGTTGTAATAAAAAAAGACACAATTATCCCCACTTCTTTTAAAAACATTCTGTACATTACCGGGGTAGGGCACACAGCACTTACTGAATTAGATTTAAGAGCATCTTAAAATATCTCCATCTCAGAGATTGTCATTAACCCAAAGCAAGACTACCACTATTTTTCCCTGGGAGACACCAACTTTTGTGTGTGTGTGTGCGTGCGTGCACGCGCGCGCACATGAGATTCTAATGGTGCTTTAGAGGAACAGACAGTGACATTGACATTTTCCACATAGCACAATATAGCATTTCAAATATAAGTCTCCAGTCACTTTGTTAAAGTATCAATTTGGTTTTTCAGACTTAACATTGCTGTTGATTCATGGCTTGTGCAGAACATATGTCAGAAATTGCACAATGTAAATCAATTTTGAAACAAATTTTCCTCCCTTTATTCTTTAATAAGTGTTTATCATAATAAGGAAAAAATCATGTTTCACTCTGCATTGGACAAAGAGCCCTGACATTGCCAGGGTTCACAGATCAAGAATTCCCAAAAAATCACTAGTGTGATATTTAAACTTATTTTGACTTTATAATAGCACAATTATGTAGCACTCTGCCTAAGCTGTTTCTAAAAATAAGCAAGTCAGCTGCAGTGCTTACGATCTGGCATGTCAGAAAGCAGCACTGAATAATTTGATTTTTTCCTGTATGCACTTTAAAAATCTAGCTTAATATTCATGAAAAAGAAAGCCTCAGAACATTCATTACAAATGCCTTCCTTACCACTATTTTGCTAATAAAAGATGGAGAGGCAGAGGAAAAAAATGCATTTGAATGTTATCTTCCTACAAAAGTTACCTCATTTTGCTTTCAAAATAAGAAGCTGGAATTTTATTTGTTGAAGAGTCCCGAAAATTTATTTCAAAACCATTTTCTTGTTTAAACGACCATCACTTCCAGACTCCCATGTTTTGTAAGTAAAACATCCCTATCCCCAAATCACTTAGTTACATTACAGGAATCCTAGCATGTTTCTATTAGACCTGAACTTCAAGAAATCATAAAGAGATAAAACAGACTCAGACACGCTCATTCTGGACACTACAATAACTCCCAATTTATTTCTGCATGCCCCATAAAGCCATTCTAAGAGTGCAAAACAGTGGATAACAACAACCAAGAAAAAGGTGAAACGAGTTTGATGCTTACCTGAAGATAGGCTCATATTATTACGTAGCTTTTATAATAAAGAAGTTGGATCTAAAATGGTCATGTATGTCTACACTCATTTTTACTGAAGTCTACATGAATTCAGGTCTTGCTTCCCCTCCTGTGCAAGAATTCTTTCATCTTTTACGAGGAAAATGATCCTTCCTTCTTTGCTGAATATTCATATACTAGACATAAATTAAGGAATGGGGAAGGTAGCTCCTAGATCATGTCGAGTAGAAAGAGTCTCTCTTCTTTAGCAGAAACGTTGTATTTTGAGACCTACAGTATTTGATGCTGCCCACCAGCACACATAAACTGAGACGATGGGCTGTGCTGTTAAACACGGGATGACAAAATCGCTGGCCTTGCTTTGACCTCAACCTCATTTATTGCAGGTCATCACATACCTGTGTGCTTACTGCCAACAAATAAGCACTGACCTTGAGCTGTATTTCTTTAAGATGGACTCCAAAATGTTTACGAGTTCCTCAGAGTTAATGAACTTTTGAGTGCTGAGCGTGTACATTTTTTCATAGAAGTCAGCAATTTCCATCCGAGCCTGAACAAAAAAACAGAGCTGTTCAGACAGGTGAGAAAGCAGCTCTTCCAAGTGAGGAGCTGTTCCTCCTAGCGCATTGCGCCCCGTCGCCACCACCTTCTTCAGCTCGTTATGCAGAGACGTGTAGATGGTTCGGATGGAGTCCTTTCGGCTGAAGAACGACTGACCACCTGTTCAGATAAACACGGACGTATGACCAAAATCCAAGGGCAGCAAAGATAGACAGCAAGACCGGAAAACTCTGTATTACTCTATTGTTCTTAGCTAGGGGTTCTAAGTGTTGTTTGATTGCAGCATTTTTTTCAGTCAAGAAGTAACTTTCAGTATATTGATTTGCAAATAACATAACATGCTTCTGAATATATTCTATGTGCAATTCAGTTATTAACTTAATTCATACTTGTCCTAATTCACGTTTTACACAAGGGCTGCTGCAAAGTTTCTCAAACTCCTTCATATCTGCCTTATTTACAGTATAACCTTTCTGAAACCCAGAGTTCAGTTAACTTTGCTAGTAAAATACATGACCAAGAAATATTGTCATCTGTGAAGACAGAGAATCAAGTCACCGTGAAATTTTAATAGCCTCCACTGCTATTAATAACTCTAAATCTTTTGAAGAGATTTCTCTCGATACCTCTTCACACATGGAAGACAAATTTGGAAAGCAACCTTTAAATGAGAACCATAGGACTACATTTGTGTTTATGAATTGAACGTTTCCAGTCCCTATGCAATCAAAACTCACAGGCAAAACAATAACAGTCTATGTCAGCAAGACCACAGCACAAATTGCTCCACAACTAAGAAAATTACAAGCAATCTCCACAATTAAAACTGCCAAATAACTGAGAAAAACAGAAGTCAATGATCCTCTCTACCTGCCTTACAGTATGAAAGTGTCAAAAAAATATGTAGAGGGTCAAAGCATAAGATATTTACATTTGTCCTAGCAAAGGAATATACAAAATACCAGCTTTACTTAATAATCTCCATTTATGTACAGTTTTATTAGTCAAATTAATTCATGAATATTCAGGAAGCAGCCTGACACGTGCTAATTATGTAACAGCACCAGGACTGAATCTGAAGAATTTTAAAGGTATTCAGATTTAAGCTCTGCTTTGAAACTGCTGAGAAATGCTGTAAAGGTGGACAATAGTTTTCACATCCATTAGACATTAGAAATTTCAGGCAGAAAAGCAGAGAATTGGCTTTCAGAGAGAAATAGCTACTTTTCCAAGTCACAAGTGGCTCCTTGGTCAGGAAAAAAAAATCCATTAATGTTACTGAAGAAATACATAAGCAAATAAAACACTGTCCCTAATATTGTTATTTTTGTCCTTTCTTCAGGTAGCAAAATTACTTTTTAAACTTAGCAGCAAATTTACTTTTTAAACTCAGCTTTACAGGCAGATTTTTCTCTCCAGTCAAGCCTTATTATAAAGGCCAACTTTGCTTAAACACAGCCACCAAAGCACAACTCTCCTGATGCTTTACTGCAGCACATATCAGACTTACAGCCCCCGATTCACTTCCCATGCCATTCCCACAGTTCAAAAGAAAAAAAAAAAAAAAAGTTGCCCAGAGGGCAACAACGACTCGTGCTGCGCCAGGTGGGTATTTTCCATTCGCAGACTAAGAGAGCGGGGAACACCCGGGGTTTACAGAGATCCTGCAGTCTCTACCTGCAAGGCGGGGGAAGGGGGCCGGTAAAGCGGCCGTTGGGGCTCAGCGCGGGGGAGGGGTCGCGAGGGGCGGCCGTTGGAGGCCGGTTGGGAAGACCGTTGGCGCGGCCGTTGGGGGGGTCGTTACCTAGCTTCTGTCCCAGGAAGGTCATGCTGTGGTAGGCCTTCTCGGCGGCGGCCAGGTGCGCCAGCGCTGCCAGCAGCGCGAGCCAGCTGGCGCCCGCGCTCTTGTTGGCCTCGCGCTCCTTCTCCACGTTGTCCTTGGCCTTGTCGTACGAGAAGATGCCCAGGTGGGAGAAGAAGGTCTCCAGCACGGCCTGCTCCACCGGCACCGGCGCGCCCAGCGGGATCGACTCCCCCATCCCGCCCGGCGGCGGCCCCGGCCGCGCCGCCCCCTCCTCGGCCCCGCGTGCGGCTGCGCGCGCGGGTCACGTGAGCGGCCGTTGGGCGGGAGCGGCGCGGACGTTAAGGACCGTTAGCGGCGCCGCTTCCGGTGCCATGGAGGAGGACGGGCGGGTTATGTGGTGCTGCAGTCTGTGAAACTGGAGGGATGACAGGCCTGGATCCGTGTTCATTCGCCTCTGCCTGCCTTTCTCTTGCGCGTTGGTGTTTTTGTTTTTTTAAGGAAAAAAACAGTAATAATGACTTGATGTGGAACATTACACATTAGGGTGTCATTTCCATAGGTATATATGTATATACACAATTCTCAGTTATACTGAGAGAGACAGACCTAAATAAAGAGATAACATATGGGAAATAAGATCTCAGGATCCCACATGCCATTAGAATTCTTAAAAATGGTAATTACATTCCATGACTATTTTTTTCTTCCTAAATTGAGGATTTGTAGCTTATTTTTTGTGGTTATACATTATAACTATACTTGAGTTAGAAATGACTGAATTCTGAATTGATGTTGTGAATCTCAGGCATTTGAGACTGTGGGGAGCGCTGCCTGCTGCTGAGTAATAGAGATTGAATTAATCACAGCTACAAGGGCATTTTGTTAAACTGGATAAAATCATGCATACTTGTCCAAGTTCAGATGGAAGACCAGCTTACATTTGAGGATTTGGGCCATTTTTCAATGATTCTGTTTGCTATGTTAAGAATTCTTGAGTTTTTTAAGAGTTTTAGGAGCGAGTACCCTCACAGTACCTTTCTCAAGAAAATCTTGATACCTGGAGTCCTAAGGGCTCAAAGGCCAGAATGCAAATGTGAAGAATCAAAGCTTCAGTTGTATATTCATTTATTTGTGCTTTGGCCAAGTTCATAATGTTTTAATTTTTAGGCTAGCAGTGCTAGCACTGGTTCCTTTTAGGAGCTGTCCACTCTTAAAAACTTTGTACATTTTTTTTCCAAAACAATTTTCACGCTAAAGTGCTTTTGCCCAAGCTCCATGTAATATACCCCAAATATAAGAGCTTGTGGATAACCTTATTCCGAGTTAATCTTGTTGGACTTGATTTCCCCTAGATCCTAGTGCATACTTCCAGCTTATCTAAATACTGTGCAGTTTCTTATGCCTTAAACTTTTGCAGTCTGCTGGTGAGCCATTTCAGACATGATAAATTGTTCAAATGAATCCCCTTTCATTCAGACAGGCCTAGTCCCTGAGTTCATTTGCCGTGAGTGAAGAGTGCAGGGCAAAACTGAGCAGAAATACGAGGCCAGGGAAGGAAGGGGGTTGCAGCAGCACCAGTTGCTTCAGCTCGTATAGATCAACCCCCTCTTACTTGCACTTCACTTCCCTGGTGTTGAGCTGCAACATCTCAGGAACACCAAAATTGCACTGTGTCCAATTTCCTCTCTGGCCATTATTTTCCTTGCTTTCCACTGCCATCTGCTTTTGAACTGTTGCCAATACACAGTATCACTTCAGCAACTCCAGGAAAGACCCAGCTGCTAATAAAACTGCCTGCCTACCAGCACCTTAATCATCAAGCCTAAGTTTTGTGTTTGTGAGACAGACAGACACATTTTGGTACTGTATGCAGCCACATGTTGTGTGTAATAGCTCCCATTTTATCATGTCTGCCTTAGGAGATCCTCCCCTATATTGAGGCAACTCATTCTAATCAACTTGATCAACTACAATTCTGTAGGACTATATAGCCTTGTTGCATAATGTACCACCTAGAAAAGAACTAATCAATTAGGAGATACTTCTGTTGAATCAGAAGTCACATGAAGTGCTGGACAAGTGTGTCATTTGTTCAAGTATGACAAAACATGCTATTTTCTTGTTTTCAATATGTTACGGAGCCTTCCAAATTTTATTAACAATTCAAAACTCTATCTTTTCTAAAGCTAAATACTTAAAGGGAACAACAGACCAACATGAATTCAAGGCACAATGAAGCTGTAGGGAACAATCAGCACAAACTGCCTTTTCACCTGAAACAGCTTAACCACATCACGTAACAGCTTTCAGACTGCAGCATCTGCAGCATACTGTAAGCACAGCAGCCTAAATACTGGGTTCATCTGCCAAACTTCTACCAGACCAGCTGGACTGACAGTCTGCTGTGCCTCTTCTCACTTATGTAGCAGGAAGCATCTGTCTTTGTATATGTATTTAAGTAAACCTCAGCATGTAACCTGGGGGAGAAGGAAGAGGGGAATTCTTTGGCACCAGTAGCACAAGTCCCAAAAGAAAACAGAGTCAAAGGTTCAAATAAGACCTTTATTACAGCACAGAGTTGACAGCACGTTTTTGTACTTAGAAGAACGTATTTGGTCTCTTGGTAGTGAAACGTGGTTTGTGCTGACGACGCAGAACTCTGTGTGGCAGAGGGAACTTGATTTTAGAATCCTGTAAGAAAGAAAAAGTTTCTCCATTAACTGATGCACAGATGAGTAACAGAAAATAATTTGCAGTAAATGGGTAAGCTGTATTCAACAGTTAACTTCTGTAGAAGTAACACATCACATTATTAGTTTATTAGATAAACTTTACAGTAACTAAAAACAGATGCATTGATTGTGTAATTATTATTATTGAAAGAAATACCTGTGAAAAGCAACCATGGTGTAACTGAAGGCATGCCTTTTCACTTTTGCTTTCTCTCAAGTACTTTACTACTCAAAATCTTGATCGCGATATAGAATTTATTGAAACTATACATGCAATTTTGATTCCTCTCCTACTTCAGTCAGCAAAGCAAATATGGACCAAGCAACAGGGCTCCCCTTCCACACTGTAGGACTGAGATCTACCAGCTACTGCCATTCTCCTTCACTTACATGGAACTGCTTGACTGCTGGTCTGCGGCACTTGCTAGCAGCAATCTCCTCAACTTTCATGATCTGAATAGAGTGAGCACGGGCACGATGACGGGCTCCCATATCACGGTCTGTAACAGGAGAACTCAGTAAAAATAAACCCTAGAATAACTTAAGACATTTTCAGTTTGAAATCTTAACACCTTCTTGGTGTTTGTAATGCTGTCCCCTACTTTCCTTTTT